TGACAAGTATTTGTTTGTCATATATTCACTTATATTAATTAACTAGTCTATTTTTGATGAGTAATCAAGGTGTTTGTTTCAAGTACGAGGTGACTCTATATTGTAAATATTACACATTGGCTGCCAATATTTTTAAAATGTCATAATCCATAATGCACCCCTATAACACTAATTTCATACACTTATTAATTCCCAACACAACATTCAATATGCTTGCTAAGAATAATCTCACTTGAAGTGAATGATACAAAGTTACGAATTTGTTTCATAAAATGTGAAAACCATATATTAAATACTTCATTTGCAAATCTTCCATCAAGTGTCTCAAACTTTATCATTCTTTCATCGCTATTAATCTCTGTTTACATTTCCGTCTTCTTCAATTTCATCATCTCAAACTTCTGTTGCCAGACCTTCCATGTTAGATTGGTGTTACATACTACTTATGTCCGACGACATAAGTAGCATACACCACACGGTAATAAAATGTGTGCTTGTTTACAATGAAAAAAACACTAAATAAAGTTGATATGTGTTATATCCTAATAACAAATAGACGAATGGTCGAGGCTAAGAATTATTTATGAATATATTCTTATTCTATAACTATTAAGTAATTAGATTATATCTATTTGTGTTTCTCTTATCGTAAGCTTTCATTTGATCTATTGACTACTATCATACGATTTATCATTCTCAAATTATTTCGAATCTATTAGTTACACTATCTCACAATCACAGACACTTTCAGTCTGATCTTGTATAATGATTATTTTTTTATTCTATGGTATGATGAGGTCTGATTTGCATGCACATATACTACGTATGTCTGAAATATATGAAGGCGGCCTGCTTGAATATCTGGGCTACCTGTTCCTCCGATCTAGATATTTCATCAAGTTATCTGTTTTATTGTTTGTTTCAGCACATCATTATGTCTATTATGCACACAATCTATTCAGGCGCGTTTATGAAAAGTTTACAACCTTTCGCTATACGGGATACAAAAAGGTACAATCAGCGACATCATGGTGGCCGGCAATATGCATTGAAACGAATGAATATTAATCAAATGTGGATTACCGAACTCCTAACATCTAACTGGTCATCATTCAAAATTTATCGTCACAATCGATCAAGGTATAAGAAAAGGAAACTTGTTGAAATACTTTATGCTGAGAATTCTATGTTGTACCAAAAATATAATGTTGAATAAAGCTTCTAATAATAAAAAAAAATACAATAGAAGTTGAAATTGTGTTCTGCACTCAACAGGCAATACAAAGTAATAAGAATCAATAAGGACTCAGAATTGACTCTAGGTTGTTCATGCTAGTTAACAAATCATTGAATTGGCATAGGGCCAAAATCGTGTAATTCCGTATTGTAATTGACGATCATATCACATGATAAATAATAAATAATATAAGTCATAATCATATCAATTCAAATATCCGGTCAACAGTATATTTACTTATTTTAATTAATTAGTCTATCATCTGTAATAATATTCTTATTCAATAATTTGTTTTTGAAAAAGATGGTCTACTAAATAACCCAGACACAAGGCTATTAGAAATTCTTTATTGTCAAGATAATGAATTTCTTTTAAAAAAATGAGTTATACTATATAAATTTATTATATTAATTCTATTCTTAATCATATTACATAGAAAGAAAAAAGAAGAAGAAAACGAAAAGAAAAGAAAAACAATCATTTGTTTCCAATCAAATGACCTTAATATTAAAGTTGATCTTGTCTGAGATTATTCTTCACAATTAAATTATAAATATTGATCCATTCAATTCATTAATTAATATAAATAAAAAAGGTTTACAACGAATAAATTATTATTATTATTATCAAATTGAAAAAATAGAATGTCATTTAAGAAATTAACAAAATTACAAAAATATCTTATATTTCTTTATGTATTCTGTACAGTATGTGGATTGATAGCATCAACAATATTATTTTTACATTATATCAGAATCAATTCTAATTGTAAGTTGATTTATAAAATGGAACCATAATAATAATAATAATAAATCAATAAATTACGTTATTATTATTACATTTATACCATGATATTTTACATGATATAACATGTTCTTTGTTTAATTATATACCTAAATTCAAACTATATATAAGAACTTCACTTGATATTGTTTTACTTGAATCTTCCCATTGATGTTTTTGAACTGAAATTGATCAGTCTCTTATTGGCATATGTGCATACTGTGCGTATGCCTCGATATTGCCTTAATTTACAAGCATTATAAGCAAAGATGGATGGTGGCTAGCAGTGGAATATAGGACGTGAGTTCCGTCTTGTTTGGGACTCGTCAGCTGGATGTACCTGCATCTCAGAGTTAATGTTCACTCTGGGACTCGAACTCAGTACCGTTCGCTTCAAACGCCATCGCGTTATCCACTTAACTACTGACTCCTGATAGCCACTTGCTTGTGCAATGGGTTGAAGTTGAATTCACTTGATATTGTTTTACTTGAATCTTCCCATTGATGTTTTTGAACTGAAATTGATCAGTCTCTTATTGGCATATGTGCATACTGTGCGTATGTCTCGATATTGCCTTAATTTACAAGCATTATATAAGAACTTTTGTCTAGATTTGATCGAATAGTTTCACAGTATCTGGTTACTGAGTTGATTTGAGACATTAAAGAGGAAGTATGAATTTGTAAAATCTCAGCGAAAGAATTCAAAATAGATAGATAGATATTGATTGATTAATTAATTTGATCATAAAATGTGTTTACAAACTCAGTATTGTCTTTTTTTTTCAATTCATTAGTAACTAAGACATAAATGAGAAATCTGATCAAAACAACTAATTAGATTAATTCATATCATTTTAAAACTTAATTTTGTAGTAAGGTTTTGTTAGAAATTATTATGAATAACCATATAATTCAATTGTGAGATTATTTCATACACATAGTTCCCTTTATTATCTTGAATAGAGCAAGAACAAAGATTGGTGCAGAATAATATGAATTCATTTTATTTCGTTAGGTTCTCATCAGCTGCTTACAACCTAAATTATTTAAAATTCAACATTAATACAGATATTGACATATTTATATATATAAGTGTGATTAAGGATCAATACATGTGTATGATGATGTAGCGAATATTCAGATAGAGTTAATGAGCTCATAAAATGTTTGATTCGAATAAATAAATAAAGTTAGAGAGGGAAAGTTCCAGAACATTGAAATAGTGATTAGAACTCATGAAAATTGATTAATGGTAATAAAGAAAATATGAATTGAAATCAATCAGTTATGTATGATGTAATTTATATTTCAGAAAGAGTTGCAATAATCACGTAATAAATAAATAAATAGGAGCAAATTAATAGAAAGAGTGGGGGTTATTGTTACCAGGGTAAAGAAAGATTTATTACTGTCTCTTTTTGTATACATAGGTCAATTCATATTTTCTTTATTACCATTAATCTATTTTCATGAGTTCTAATCACTATTTCAATGTTCTGGAACTTTCCCTCTCTAACTTTATTTATTTATTCGAATCAAACATTTTATGAGCTCATTAACTCTATCTGAATATTCGCTACATCATCATACACATGTATTGATCCTTAATCACACTCTTATATATAAATATGTCAATATCTGTAATAATGTTGAATTTCAAATAATTTAAGTTGCAAGCAGCTGATGAGAACCTAACGAAATAAAATGAATTCATATTATTCTGCACCAATTTTTGTTCTTGCTCTATGTGAGATTATTATCCAACATTCTTTGATTTATGAATAAATAGTACATGCACAGTGTTCGTTTTTTTGGATGTCAGGTAATGTAATAGTGTCATTATTATTGTACATAAGCTAGCCTAAATAGATTATAGATACAAAATTTGGTTTCCTATTTCAAGACCCTACAATATCTACAAATGGGGGGACGGAAAACTTTAAAGATAATTTTTCCTAATGTAAAACTTAAAATCTATATACGATTAAATTTAAGCAACCAAGTAAAAGTGGATAACAAATAAACTTTCTAATGACATAAGTTTAAGTGAACGAAAAAAACGTAAATATAGTCGGTAAAATATGTATTTTGAAATTTCATGAGGGAATCAACAAATGGTGTTGTTAGTGACATACAATGTTATGTATGATGTCGTGAAATCGAGTGAAATATATGCATCACCTCATTGTACACAAACTGATTAATAGTTTCTGTTTTGTTGGCATATTTTTACACTGATCTAGCCTCGTCACCACTCACAGACAGTTCTCCTACAGTGGATAAATCAAAGATGGATACAAGTAAGTTTATAAAATGAATTTCTCGGTGCCTTTGAATCATTATGCACATGTTGGTTGGCTGAATTGCATATGCTTTTATGACAGATTTGCGTTAAATTCCACATATACTTCTATAATTTTTTGCTGTGATTTTACTTTTTGTGACCGAAATATCATCATAATTTTGTTACATTTATGCTTTACACTTGTTGAAATCATGAGTCAGTTGAAGCTAGACCACCATGGAAAACCCCCAAGCACTGGACGGCCGTTTCGTCCCAGCATGGGACTCCTCAGCAGTGCGTATCCACGATCCCGCACATCGAGAGATTCGAACCCAGGACCTATCAGTCTCGCTCGAAGCGCTTAACCAACTAGACCACTGGGCCAGCATCCAACGGTGTTAATGTCTAACTTCAATCAATCCATGGTGGTCTAGTTTCAATTGACCTATGATTTCAACAAGTGAAATTTCTAAAAATCTCCACATAACCCATTCGGATAATATTTATTATATGTATTTTATTTATTACGAATGTTTCTGTTTGCATTTGTCAGGTTTCAATAAGTATGGTAGTTTATTATCATTCTTAAAAACATGAACGTTTTATTAGTTCACTTTGTGAAAGTTATTTGACTATAACTTAAATATAACTAAGTGTTTACTTTCTTTCTATTTTATTTCATATGAAGACAATATGTTTATCAATAATAATTGCACAGGTATTATCACAGATAATGAAGTTAACACCAACTGTGATAATTTTGAAGAGTCTGTTTGCCACAAACAAATATCAAATGACTTCCCTAAAGATCATTTATTACAATCAGATGATTTTATCATAGATATTTGTGAGTTTAATTAATAACTTTTCATTAATTACTTCACATTTAAGCATGATTTTGGTCAAGGTTTTTAATGTCTATAAACTTTTAACTTATTTTGATTGTATACAAAATTATTGACTGAAATCATAAGAAAAATAATCAATTTTTTAACACGTACCTAATTATCAGTTTTACAGCGTAAAATAGTAGTTTATTCAGTGCCGATTACATTCATCCTAATTAAGAAAGGCAACTGCCTCATAACTTCCGAAGAATCTCGTCTTTCGCTAGGATCCTTCATAGTTCTTATGAATGAAGATCATTCAAATCTTAATATAGAGTCTCAATGGTCCAAATTATTTTTTCTGACTAGCATTTTTTTAGCAATGTTGTTTACTATGAGCTAGTGTTGCTAACCCTATGACCAACCCTTCTCCTTTTACCCGGTCTTTGGACCAGCAGTAATACTGAAAGAGCTACAAGCGGAGTTTGTTTTCATCTAGTAGATAATATATCTAACATTTTGATTCATTATTCAGTATTAAAACATTGAAAATCAAGTCTGACTAACTTGCTACTGTCAAGTTAGTTATTTAGTGAATCGATTGTATACCTAACAGAAATGATCGTATAGAATGTGATTAAGATGTGTTTAGTATAAATATGAGCTATCTGTAAACATTAGCTGAACTACTCGTTTAACCAATTTATATTTATGTCATGCACATTTTCGAAGTCTTTATTGCTTCCTATGACTGAGCATTAATGTTAAGCAATAATATTCAGAGTGAAGCATTTCCTAAGAGTTATATATTTGTGTTGTATCAAGTCAATCTTTTCAAACTTCCACGGAAAAATTATATCCAAACTTGAATATAGATCATTTTAATAATCTACTATATGTCTTTTAAGACTTGTATTCAATTCAGTAAATAGTCTCAAAACCATCATTATTTTCTTACTAAATAATCTTTATCAAGCACAAACTACTTTACTTGGATAATGTGGTGCAAACCTACTCAAGTACATCATAATTTTAATGTAAAAATTCTAACTAACAGTTATTTTACATAGACTTTATCCATGTATGTCGAAGTAGAGCATTATATTTGTATTTTAATATACGAAGTAGGAGAGACTATGATTTATGGACAAACCAAGCACTTATATGGTAACACGTTTTGGAATTTGACACGAATTTCATTCACTCGTTTTGTTAGATATCATCTTGGCATTATAACTGATGTCATTTCGTGATGGAAACATTAAATCTTATTCTCAACCATAATGTTCAACTGTAAATTCTAATCCTCATTCCTCACACTAATCTATGATCCTCATTTAACCGTAGTAAGTAAGTGGTCATCCCAAGGTCATTTTAGCGTTGCTCAAACGTTGTCCATACATTAGTCTCACCACAAAATAAATCACACTAGTAGTTAAATCAAAATTTTCTAAGTTTATCAAACAATCTAATTATCGTCAAACGTTTGTGTAATTCTGTCAGGCAACATCACGAATTACTCGAAGTTAGACACGAACACCGATGGATGCCGGCTCAGTGACCAGAAGATTAGGCATTCGTGATTTCAATCAGATTTATTCTATTATAAACGTGTAATAAATAAACAATGATTTTGAAATGTTTCAAAATAGTGCACTAATTTATTAATTTATTTCGTTTTAAGTGAGGAATACAATGAATGTAAATGAATCACATCTTACGGCTGCTATTAATTACTACCGATCTTGTATCACAAACTCTAAGGAGGAAACATCGTCAAGAAAAGAGAAAATCGTTCAATTAATCTCATCTCTTTTCAACGGATGGTCATCGTTACTCTATTCTGATAAGATCTCCTTCAATATTAGCAACAATATATCTGATAATAAATTGTTCAGTCTTACCAATTTAATTTTACCACTGATATTTCAAAATGGAAAAACAACTATATTTTCTCTAAATGTAGTTCAAAGTAGAAACAAAAGTATAAATCCATATATTTATGTGAGTTATTGGACAAAACAACTTTTGTTTATTTACACATAATTCTAAATTATAAACGTTTAGTTTTCATCATTTCCATCTAGCTTACGAACCAGTGAATTATGAGGACTCTAAACCTAGAATCATTTCACAGTACAATAAAGTGATGTTTATAACAATCTTTTTTATTAGACTTAAATCAAGTTCGAAATACCTTCATACAATTACTTTTAAATTAAACACTGTTATTAATTAGGCACTATATCAGTACGACATTATTCTCTCGTTAATGTATACTCTAACATGTTCACAAAATTCGCATAAATATTAGGGTAATTGAATGTATGTATGATTCTTTGAACGTATTCAGATCATAGTTACATCAGTAGTAAGTGAAAGCCTCATATTACGTAATACGCCATACATTTTATGTATTGGGGCATTTTTGAGCTTAAATTCATAAATAATTTTGTCAATTATGAATGACAGATTCAGTTATAGTTTATTTACTATCTGTATCACTTCATTCCATTTAGGTTGTCAATCTAAGCTTAAAAAAATAAGTGCACATTCTAAATGTGAAAACGAACTTCACTGTTTCCTGTACCAATAATTTTGTCCTAGAACTACTTATTTTCTGTAATCCATTTAGCCAAAGCATGAAATCCATGTACTGATAGTCAAAAACTAAGTGTTCCTATCTGGAAAAATAACATTTAGCATCCTACGAATCAACCTTCTTAATTCAACAAAATACTTCGTAAACAATAATCAAAACTCTCAATAGACAGCCAATGTTAACGTAAACGCTTCCCGAAAGAATGAATACCGATTAGTAACTCTAACATACAAATGTACAATATTTCATTTGAATTCTATTAAACAATACAAATAACTTTATCTTCATTTCAGATTTCTTCAGGTCCACTTAATGTATTTACCAGTAGTGTTTCAAACACAGTAAGATAAAGGAATAAGAATCTATTTAATTATATTTTAATTGATAATAGAATTTCATTGACAGTTTATTTCTGATTTATTGTAATCTGTAACACGAAACATCATGTTAAGTTAATTTTATTGATCGAATGTATCAATAAAGTTGTGAATAATAGTGGATCCAGAGTTTAAAACAGTTTAGACTTACTTTTTTTTATCTCAATCATATCAAACAGTATTCTCGATGAGACTATAATATATGGACAACGTTTGAGCAACGCTAAAATGACCTTGGGATGACCACTTACTTACTACGGTTAAATGAGGATCATAGATTAGTGTGAGGAATGAGGATTAGAATTTACAGTTGAACATTATGGTTGAGAATAAGATTTAATGTTTCCATCACGAAATGACATCAGTTATAATGCCAAGATGATATCTAACAAAACGAGTGAATGAAATTCGTGTCAAATTCCAAAACGTGTTACCATATAAGTGCTTGGTTTGTCCATGAATCATAGTCTCGCCGTATTCTCAAGCACAATAGAAATAAGAAATACCACATCAGCCTACAAATATCACTGATTTCTTACTTTTTTTCTTGTATCTTAATCTAAACAATGTGAAATTTTTGACAAAATATAAGTAAAGGCAAATGTCATAATAACAAAATGACAAATTCAGAAGAAATTTCGTCTGCGTAGATAATGTGATGATGGATTACTTTTTATTAATTGTTGCAAATTAACCAAAACATTATAAGCAGTTAGTATCATTGTCAATTTGGTAGATCTTTGCCACCATCAACTCGGATACAGTACGTAATCAACCACTCATAGCACACTTCATCTTGTGTGTATTACAAACGACTTAAATGTAAGTACATACACACTTGACTGTCGATTAGAAATTCTTTGGAATTCTCAATCATCACATTAACATTAAAATCTTCTATACAGGAATCCTACAAGGCTCATTAAGTCAGTTAAAATCATTTATTACATTGATTAATCGTGGTTCATTTACTTCCGCACTGTTCCAGTGGATAAAGTACATGTTTATTGACTAAAAGAGTCTACATTGACAACGTTAATTAGGGTAAAACTTCCAAAAAAACTGCATGTAATTGAAAATTTATTTATTTACATCAATAAGCTGTAATATATTTCATGTGTAATACCTTAATCACTAATAATAACACATGTGTTGGGACAACAATGTATTTCAGTAACCATCTATATATACACATATATAGATTGTTGAAGACTAGAAAACGTGTCATATTATATTCTATAAAAGTGGATCGTTTAAATACATATTAAAGTAAATAAAAATGTAGTCTATCTTCCCTCAAGGTTGAAAAATTGCATAAAAGTGTGATCGATATTCTATCCCAAGAATTGCGCAACCATGAGCCCACATGTGAGAATCGAACCCAGGACCTTCGCAAACAGTCATCATGTGCTCCCTAGTGACTAACTTCAAGATGGATTTCCTGAAGTCCCAGTAAGAAGCCGTGACCAATGGAGTCCAATTCATGTAGGGTAGAGACAGACATCCACCTCAGACAATAGATGAAGGGTTAAGCAAGATCATGAATAGATTGAAGTTAGACATTAATACTGTTGGATGCCGGTCGGCTCAGTGGTCTAGAGGTTAAGCGCTCACGTGTGAGACCGAAGGTCTTGAGTCCGGATTCTGTTGGTGCAGGATCGTGGATGCATACGGTTGAGGAGTCCCATATTAAAACGAAATGGTAGTCCAGTACTTTCGGGTTTTCAACGGTGTTCTAGCGCAAATCGACTCATGAATTCGAATAAAAAAATTACTGCAATCTCCACAAACTCCCATTTTGATAACAATTCTATCCCAAGGTTAAACATGTTAGTTTCAAATAAACTGAATATCGGATAAGAAGTCAATAATAAAAAATTTTTTTCTTATATCCCAATGAATAATATTTTGTTTATCACTATCATACTTATCCTCATTTCTGATTCATATGTACTTGTGATATGATAAAATCGGGAACTTGTGTACTTAACCTTTTCCATAACTAATAACTAGTTGGTTAACAATGGAGAAGGAACAGAAGAACAAATTTTCAAGTTACTAGAGAATTTTGAAGTGGTGGAAAATAAGGAAGAATTGGCAAAAGGTGTTTTCAATTTGTATTCAGACATTAAAAATGTAAGTAAAATTATCACAACCACTTTGCAATTATTCAAAACTTTATTGTGATGCACATTTTAACATATCCCAATACTTTGGTTAATAAGATACTTAAATTCCAGGTATTGAGAAACGCTTATGGAAAACTGTACCATATAATGAAATTTCAACTGTCGAATAGTTTAAGCAATTGTTACTGAGATGCATTTCTTACTTACCTACTTGTTTACTTACTTACTTAATTACTTACTTACTTACTTACGCCTGTTACTCCTCATGGAGGAGCATAGGCCACCAACCAGCATTGTACATCCAACTCTGTCCTAGTTAATACTCCCCAGTTGATTCCACTTGCTATTCATTCTCTTGATGTCTGCCTCCAATTCTCGACGCAGTGTGTTCTTTGGTCTTCCTCTTTACTATTTCCCTTCAGGATTTCGGGTGAGCGCTTGCTGCCTAATGTAGTTTGCTGATTTTCGCAATCTATGCGTTATCCACCTCTAGTGTCTTTTTCCAATCTCCTCTTCAAATGGAAGCTGATTTGTTCTCTCATAGTAGGCTGTTGATGATGATATTCGACTAACAGACATTGAATATCTTGAGTGGGTAACTGTTTATAAATACTTCTACCATTTTGATAATGGTTGTAGTAGTTATCCCAATTTCAACTCCGTACAGCAGAACTGTCTTGACAATCGCAATGAAGATTCTGACTTTGGAGTTGACTGACAGTTGTTTTGATTTCCATATGTTATTCAGTTGTGAGAATGCCGCCTTTGCCTTGCCAATCCGCACCTTTACATATACATCATCTTCCTCCATGTTTGTCGGTGATCCTGCCCATATAAGTTAATGCCTATTGATCTCGAAATTGGGCCTCTACTGGATCTTCCATCTGGTTCAGCAACACTGTTGAAAACCTTTCCTGGCACTGACAGCAGTGTAATGTCTCAGTAGTCCCAACACTTGTTCAGATCTCCTTTTATTCATATCATGCTGTGTCCTTCTCTCCAATCTTCATGAATAGACAGTGGAACATCTCTGCAATTACCTCTCTGTCTGACTTCAGTGCTTCAGCTGCTATGCTATCAGATTCCACTGCTTTCCCACTCTTGACTTGGTTTATGACCATTCTGATCTCTTTGGTCGTTAGTGGAGTGAAATCTATAGGAATGTCCGCGAGTATTGCATCGATGTCTTATGGGTTCGATTATGTTTGCCTATTCAACAGTCCTTCTAAGTGCTCAACCTACCTGTTCCTCTGTTTTTGAATCTCAATGACTGGCTTGCCTACTTTGTTCTTGACTGGTTGCTCTGGTTTGCAATATTTCCTTCTCTTGAAACTTCATTCGCTGTTATTTCCAGATCTTTTACATATTGCGGCATGTCCGATCTAATGCTCTTCATCGAACTCCCGTTTGATTCTGTATATTTTGTTTGTGGCTTGACTTACTCTGTTCTTGTTCAGCTATTGACCTTCCTGTCTTGAACCCTGTTCAAAGTCTTGGTAGAGATCCATTCCTTATGACGATGTTTTTTACGATTATTGACAAGTTGAAGTTAGTGCTCCTTTGATCCATTTCCAGTTGTTCTCCATAGTAATTTCCTCTTCTTTGAGTAGATCTTGTAGGGCTTGGAACCTGTCACTGAGAGCTATCTTGAATTCCTTAAGTTCATCAGGGTCTCGAAGAAAGGCTGTATTGAACCTTTTTAATGCTATTCCCATAGCTGTCCAGTGCTTTTTAGTTCCAATTTCATCTTGGCCACTACCAGGTGGTGATATGAAGCTAAGTTAGCTCCTCTTCTGGTTCTCATGTCTTTTATTGTCCTACTGAATTTTTCAGTTATTCGAATATGATCAATCTGTTTCTTCGTCAACTGATGCGGTGATACCCATGTAGCTTTGTGTATGTGTCTCTGGGGGAATATAATGCCATCTATAAGCATCTTGTATTCACATAAATTTGCGAATCTATTACTATTTTTGTTTGTTTCTCCCAGTCTATGTCGTTCCATGATATTTTCATACCCGGTGTTGTTCATTCTGACTTTGGCGTTTGGGTCATTTATCAGAATGGTCAAGTCGTTTCCTAGGCACTTCTCTACGATCAACTTCAGCCTCTGATAGAATTGATTTTTATCGCCGTCGTTGCTATCATTGATGGATGCATAACATCGGATAACATTCACTGTAATTCCCTCTTTCTTTGTTTCGAAGAATGCTTTGATGATTATAGATCCATGAGATTCTTATCCTATAAGTGCTTTCGTGCCTCTTTGGAAAGAACCAGAGCAACTCCCTCTGTGTGCGGAGCATTTCCTTCTTTGTGACGAGAGTACAGTAGCATCTCTCCTGAATCTATCTTTTTCTGTCCAGCTTGGGTCAAGTAGATTTACTTATTGCAAGTTAAGTTTGAAGCGTATTTGTTAATTTTAAAATATATAAACACATTCGGAGTAAAAACTTATGTGATTATACTTATTTTTTTAACGTATAGATATCGAGTTGACTGATTGAATTATCTTTCAAGATTTTTACTTAAAAACCAAACCTGTTTTCTGAAATTAAGTTGATATTTATAAGCAAACTTGGTCTTTTGAGCGTTACAATAGTAGCATTATTTACTTTAAAAGATAATGTCTGAATGATAACAGTGACAAAATAATAATAATGGGGATGTAACGATTTATCTCCTTTTCCTGACAGACGCTGACCTACTGAATATGATTTCACCAATAAAATTAAACATATTACGCCATATTATTAAAGGTTTCACAATTTCATGATTACTAATGAAAATATACCGTAGTTTGGCTACAAAACTTAAAAATCTATCATCAAACTGATGAGTATCACTGAATAATTGAAGTTGAATTAAAATACCTTAATATAAACGATCATCGAATTAAACTGATTATACATAATTTACATGTTAAACGGAATGCATTAAGCCGTAATACCTGGTTAGTCAAATGTATACACTTTCTTGCTGATGATAGAACATGTTGTTTATCGTTTGAAAAAATAACTGTAAATAAACTGATATCGTTTTATCCCTAATGATGTCTAAATTTAGATATATCTGTGTAAATAATCAGTAGTTGTAATATGACAAAATATTAGGTTGCTAGCATATTCACTATATGATATGACAGGATGAAAAGGCAAATATATTTTTAACCCACTATGTTTAGTTTGATGTGGAGCATGCGATCTTGTTATCCTCTCATAAATGTGACTTCTTTCTAAATAGTAATCAAAATTGCTGTTCAATCATTATATAAATCAGTTGGCTTTTGACTATGATTGTCATGTTTTTGGGGTGAATAGATCTTCACTCTCACCAGTCTTCCATGTTTTTACTTCGCGTCGTGGGTATTGTAGTGTTTACTCGTTTTTACCTACAAGTAATAGGCAATGCGAATATTAAACTAATTCTCACTAAAATCATAAAAAGCAAATTAATAAATTAGATACAGAAAATTTAATTGACTATAGATTACTGATTGGGGGGACCGGTTTAGACTAAGTACAAAACAATATTTATTCCAATTTAGTTTCAAAATTCTCAGCTATACTCCTTCACTATCGTGGATTTGCCTTTATTATTATACATCAAATAATTTACTGTGGTTATCATGTGATATTGTCTTTGTTGCAGGCAATCCCATTGCAGAATGTCGATAAAGAAGTCCCATTTGAAAATCTGAGCCAAATCTGTTCCGTTGTAGGTTGATAATTAAATCGCTTTTAAAGTAGTATATTCATACAAAGAACTTTTCTGATGTAAGCCTGGTTATCCAATTATGTGAACACTTACTGTAGAAATATTACTGATACATTAATCATTAGATAGTTGATCTTCTTATATTCCCTATCTTATAAACCTACTACTGTGGTGCGTGCTACTTTTATTGATATAAGTAGTATATGACGCGAGTCAGTAATGTAATATCTGGCAGCAGAAGATGGGGGAAGATTAAGAAAGGAAGAGCGGGAATAGAAAGCAATCAATATGGAAATGCAAGAACAATGAGGTTTGAGACAATTATTGAACATTTTGCAAATTAAGTATTATAGTATGGATTTTCTATTTTACTAAGTAACTCTGTAATTTTGTGCTTAATACATTCGTCCCCACCCGTGTTCTGTTCAATACACTACTACTCATGTCTGTTATCCTTCGTGGAGGAATATAGGCCGCCCACTAGCATTCTCCATTTTATAAAACTAAGGAGGAAATTCATCCGTTCACTAACTTACTGTTAAAGTTAATTGCAATCAGTTTTACTATGACCTTTACTGTTACCGATCTACAATCATTATTATTACCTATCATATCTTATCATTATTTCAATTTTCCTAGTACAACAATTTTACATAATTCTTATCGGTTATCATAACATGTGAAATTGTATGTATAGTGTGATGTCATACATTTACTTATAAATTATGGAACATGAGATCTCTGTTACAGAAGTTTACACTCCAATAATAAAGAATAATTTCATTATTATTGAAATCTAACTCAATGTTTCCTACCATAACAATAAAGTTCTGTAAAGCTTTATCCAACTATTTCGTAATCAAATCATGTTTTATTAAGAATAAACTACTTATAGCAGTGTCAAATATTGATGATCTAAATATCTCTACTTTTAAAAGACATAAAAACTTCATCCTAGACATTATTCAGATCTGAAACAGTTTGAGAGTTGAGTTGATCCAAAAGAAATATTCAAACCATATACTTCATACTTAAAAAAAGATCAGAATAAATGTATACTCAGTATCCAGAAAGAAATACTTTATGACTAAAAAAGGCAAACGCAATTTATTGTTCTCATCACGTTTTTCTGTTACACTTAGAAATCATGAAACTAACACTTGAACTTTTTCAATCATATATTTCTCAATAATACACCATTACAAGTTAAATAAGAAGCACAATAATAATTGTTTATCAATCTCAACTACCAACCTAATGAATGATTAGTTTATTGTAAAAAAAAAAATAACTCGCCAGTTTGACTGAAGTCAACACCTTTCAAAATTACTATGATTAAAAATCATAAGGCTCAAACTCCAAACAGAATGATCTTTTAGTGAAAATGCTGTCAACAAGAATAGTACAGTATTATTTAAGTTTATTGTAGATAATTACTGGTCATAATTAGCTGAGTGACACTGATCATGTGTTGAAAATCCATTTTGTAACATAACCCATTTGTTGTCTTTGTAAATATATTTCAAATTATTATTTATTTTGATCAGATCGATTGGAGTTTTTTATTTGAAAGTGTATTCCATGAAATCAAGTATGAATCATACAAGAATATGAAAATTATCGTCTATCATCCAGACTCCTTGAAGAATGTTTGTGATATACACAGGTTGGCTATGAATACAACAAGCAGTAAAAGGTATTTTTTCTCAAAACTGAATGTTATGCTTCCAGTAACGAGTTGTTGCTATAAAAACTTGTCAAATCGCGTCTTTATTTTGAGTAACGAACATGATATTCAAAAGCATTTGTCATGAATGTAAAACAACTGAGTTCTACACATTTATTTCTATTTGGTCTAACAACGACAGTGTGGTGGTTGTATATACTGAACTGTAGACTGATTCTTTCGAAAGTATAAAATCGCGGTGCTGATTTGTCACAAAAGCACAACAAAATAATTGTACAATCCTAATCAATCGCGGTCACTTTTTCAAATGGTATTCCTTATTACTGAAAACTATATTTAAGCAACACAGAACTTGGCTAGTTAGTTTTTTAAATTTAGATAAACTTACGAATCAGTCCATGTTGAAACTAGTGAATTTCTTCATTTTCTTAATCAGCCGGCAGTATATATATATAATGTGTATTTGTTATAGACTTTTGTGTACAAATGAGAAGAATCACGTTTTATTAGAGCAAATGTCATGATGAGCTAGACAAGGTTTTCATTCCACTTCAATTATTATGAATTGAAAATATATTTAACAGTTCAATTCATGAGTCGATTTAAGCTAGACCACCATGGGAAACCTGGAAGAACTGGACAGCCGTTTCGTTCTGCATTAAAGGGACTCGAACCCAAGACCTTTGGTGTCGCGCGCGAACGCTTAACCCCTAGACTACTGAGCCAGCCGGCATCCAACTGTGTTAATCTCCAACGCAAGATATAGCGCGATCGTCCATAATTTTCTTCAATGAGTAACTGCCTTACAACAGACACAGTTGAACTTCACTGGTCACGACTTCTCACTAAGACTCCAGGAAATATATCTTGAAGAAGTCCCATGCTACGACAAAACGGCCGCCCAGTGTTCCAAAGTTTTCCATGGTGGTCTAGCTTAGATCGACTTATGAATTCAAATATTAAATTAATACAATCTTCACAAACTCCCATCCTGAAAATATATTACTATCTAAATGAAAAGTTTGCTCACTATTCAAAACATTCTTTAAACACTTGTCAGGATGAAAAGAATTGTGTCAAGAGAATGAGTAATTAGTAGACGAACTATTTGAAATTTCCTTGATCAATAGTTGTATACAAATTAACAGAAATGGCAAAAAAAAGTTAAATAACTCATTTCTTAGCAAATCATGTCCCAGATACTCAGCAATGGCAGTGTTTAGTAAACAATTGTAAATAAATAAAAACTAAACATTAAACAATAAGAAAATATCCAAGACTAAAAGTTAGATTACTAACAGAATAAACAGATTCAATTAACTGAATACAGTTCATGGAGAACGAAACACATGAATAACAGTTATTCTGTCTATTCTACCCGATCCCCAAGCAATCAATATAAATATATACACTTTTCAATTTATTGTACGTTTACGAACTCGTGCTGTAGTGAGTGAGAAAATAGGCAGGGACAATCAAATATATTTTAATACGACATTACAGAATATTTTGGTAAAATGTGTGAACCATACAATAAATAATTCATAAGCAAAATGTCAATCAATTGTCTCAGAATTGATTATTCCTTTTGTAAATGTCAATCAATCGCCTCAGACTTCACTGTTCCTTCATTTCTATATCAATCACTGTTTGTTTTCGTTCTTTTCTCTTCAATCTTCTTAACTTTCTACCGCCAAACATTTCACTTTCAATTGGTGATACATATTACTTATTACACACTACAGTACTATTCTAAATTTAAAATAAAATTCATATATAATCATGATTTTATTTAGATTATTTAACAATCAAATATCCGTTTATTGTTTGATTATATTTTTTTTCTAGAATTCTACATACTATGATAGTGATAAATTTCTTATACAACATGAGAAGTACCTTAAATCAATATTTCAAAGAGTTTTATTTCTTTGATAACCGTAAGTAACATTGTCACCTACAGCAATATCATTGATTTTTGATTTTGTCCAAGTTGACTGGAATATCTTCAATGCAAGTTTTAAAACAAAAAAAAATCTACGGCGAATATAAACATTAAAATATATTTGGTTAAACTGTAGATTTAAAAAAATAATAGAGAGAACTGATCAATAGACAAAACAAATATTACTAATTCATGCTAAAGGCACGGTTAATCAATCCTCACCAGGTTGACTAACGTAAATAAATTTAAATAATACTGAGATAAGAATCATTGTGTAGGATTACCGCCAAAAAAGTTCCCTTAGTTTTTTTTTCTTTTTGATTAAGGGCAGCATAAGAATTATGTTACTGTCCAAATTTTTTTTCATTTATTTACATAACAAAATACTGATGGATATCAGCAAAATTATTAGAAAAAACGCCAACAAGTTGTATTGATGAGGTGAAAGAAAATTTCCCATGGACAATAGAACGACATCACGAATATTCTAGTATAAGTGAAAGTAAAAAAAGCGAGGCAAGTTTAAAACTCGGTAAAATATTATTCAATTTTATGATCACAATAAAGCATTACGTTAAGTAGTACAATCTTAAAATCTTACATATAATCGTAATCAGCTTGTAACGAAAATTTGATTTGATTGATAAATATTATGAGACTAAGTTACTTTTGTTTCTACTACTGATTGTAAATTCAACCAACTCATTGATTCATCCCACTATATAATGCTATGTTTGAAGAGATAATGAGATCACCTAAAACCGACGAAAGGAACGAAGGATCAACGACACAACGACAAGACAAGCTAAACCATTCAGATACATCCAAGCCCTGCTAACTAGAGCGAGAATACCCGGTCCAGATGAAGAGAAGGTATATTCAACAAGTACCCAGAAGCACGAACAACAACAAGCACTCAACTCACGCGTATGTATACAGCATAAAAATATCCTTGGGAAACGTCACAAAAAAGCATATTAAAAGAGGGAACGAACCAATGACATTTAGGGTCCCCTTAAGTGGGAAATACAATGTGAAGGTGAAAATAGGCACTTTTGGCGCGAAAACGAGAAATTCAGATTTCCAAAATAAAATCACAAAAATATGACGTTTATCAAGTGATTGCTAGGGATATGTATATATATATATAACATCTGAACAATTATCCATAATTTCCATCGTTTATGTAGTTATTTTGTATAAAATCAGTGTATTTGTTTACAATGTATAGGTACTTGAAATATTTGATGAATTAAAGATCACTTTGATTCAATTATTATCATCGAGTTCATGGTTCAACGAAAACAAAAGAGGCACTGTTGATCAGGTTTGTTCAATTGCAATCGATTGCATAATTAATAATCCATTATATTGTTCAGGTTAAAAATATTAATTTATCGATAATTTCATCGGAATCATTGAATGTGAAAGAGAGAGAGAGCGAAGATTTTATATTCAATGTGAGTTTTAAAACCAATGTATTCCCATTGATTATTATTATTATTCTCTAATTAAAGGTGAACAAGATTCCGTGTCTAAATTATTTACCAAAAGTGTGTAAAGAGACTTTTTGTGTACATCCAATTATTTCATGATTTTATTTATGTTACTGAGATGCTAAGGAAAATTTGTAGCTCAGAGGGATATTTTTCGTGGAGTTTTGTTTTCTGAGCTGGATAGTTTAGTCGTGGGGCTTTCATTGTTCCTCTGAACAACCTCATCAGCACAAACTTCAGGTAGAAGTGAAGTGTTTGAATTTCTCCATATATGACCCATAGCTTGTCCTGTCAACCTCGATCTTGATTGCTTATTGTTGACTTTTAACCTGTCTTTGTCTACTTCTTTATTTTGATTTTATCTTCCATTGAGTTGATTCTCAGCCCTATATTTGTCCATGATCTTTCTGAATGAATGATAGACTGGATCGATTTCAATGTATTTGTTGATTGCTGATTGACCAGAGTCCCAAGCTTCTAAAAATTCTCTGGTGCTATTGGTATTCCCTCTATCCAAGATCTCAATATTTTTCCAGTCTGATGTGTGTCTACAGTTTTCTACATACATTGATATATGCGAAAATATATCGTGGTGTTTCGCCGCTGATCGGTGTTCGTGCAGGCGAAGATGAAGAGAGCATCCGCTTTTCTCGATATAGTGTTTCCTCAGTTGGAACAATTTATTTTGTAGATGACATTCGTCTCTTCTTCTTTTGTCGTTTTGTCCTTCGGTTTGCATAGGATTGATTGAAGTGACTTCACTGGTTTGCGTGCTACACCTGTTCCAAACGGCTATAATAATGTCCTCGTAATTTTTTTATATATGGTAGAAGGATCCGTTTGTTGGTTTCTGTACTTGATTTCGTTTCTGTTGACGCGTTCAGTTAATATTCTTTGATGCAATTGGTTTGGTAGTTGTTCATTTGAAAGATGGTCTTTAGATATTTTCCTTCATTTTTCCACTCTGCAAGTGTGTTGCAGTGTGTTCTCTCCCTCTTAAATAAAGTTTGTACGCAGTTTATTTGTGAGTTCTTGGAATGTTGCTGCTCTGATTAAGGATTCGATCTGTGTAGATCAGCTTCCGATATACGTGAGTCTCCAGTTTTACTGAGTCGGTCCTAGTGATCAGTACACCCAAGAATGGAAGTTTGTTTTTGACGTCTGTTTCATTGTGAACTTTATGTAATCGAAGACGTTGTTGATAAGATTGTTGGTGTTTTCCAGCTCGTTCTTTTTGACGATGACGAATGTGTCGTCCATATAACAAATCCCCATTTTCGGCTTGACGACTGGTAAGATCGAGGCTTCCAGTCTCTACATCACAGCTTCTACAATAAGTCCTGACATGGGTGATCCCATTGATGTTCTCTTTATTTGTCATCAGGTTTTATTGTTAAGTTGAAAGTATGTTGTTGAGCATAAATCGATGAGTCCTAGCAAACCTTGATTGAAGATCCGTGTACTTTTTGAGGTTTGTTTAATCGCCGAGGAGCGAGGATAGAATTTTCTTTCCTAAGATTTATTAGACTGAGGTGGTTAATGCTGTTACATTGAAGGATATCATCAATTCGTTGCAATTGATTTGAATCTCTTTAACCTTATTCAAGAATTGCATGGAAGATTTGATGAAGTGATTAAATGAATCTACTAAATATTCTTGAAATTTCTCCTGAAAAATTAGATGTTATGGTTCCGCGGATTATTACAATCGGGCGTAGCGAGATATTTGTTTTGTTTACTTTTCGCCGATCGTAGAAATGAAGTATCACTGACCCATTTCAGACTCCTCCGATCTCATCAACCCAATAACAAACGTCAGTGCATCAAGGAAGAAAATGATATCGTTAGATGTCACTTCTCTATTCACAAATGTCCAGCTCACAGAAACGATTTTCTTCTTATACGATAATATTTTTCATTTTTAATTAAGCTGGTTTGTTTGCAGTAACTCAACTAACAGTAAATCTTAATGGTTGAATTTATGAGTCTATCCAATCTAGACCACCATTGGAAACCTGGAAGCATTAGACGGTCGTTTCGTCCTAGTATTGGACTCCTCAACGGAGAGCATCCGCGATCACCCATGCGGTAATCGAACCCAAGACAATTGGTTTGGCGTGCGCGAACGCTTAAACTCTAGTAAATTATTATTCATTTAGTGATATTCAACATATAGTTCAGTGACGTTTCCAATCCCATATGAAAACGACAACTTAACTAGTGGATAGCGATTCAGTAGTTAGCTTTAACGACGTTTGATTTAATGAAGTAAACCAATCAGATTAGATGCCTGAAAAATATTATTCTTTGTTGTCTATACAAAATTAATGTACTTCAAATACTAATAAGAGTTATCGGTAAACAAATGAAAATAAAATTTGAAAAAAAATAGTAAAGAGAAGAATAACATATTCTTTACAAATCGATTGACAGACGATTTATGGTGAAAACGTTAAAGGATGTGTTCTAAACAATTATCAAAACCTTAACTTGTATAAATCCCTTAATGAAAAATATTGTCCTAAATTTAAGGTAGATCCTTGAAATGAAAACTGTTTCACAAGTGAAACTTTTAGCCTTCTTGTAGATCAATCACTAGAGATTTAATGTTTTATACGGTTTACGCTACTCCATTTGTGTCACTTTCATACTACTTTATTAGTCAATTTCGTGAATTGCATTTGGATTTTAAGTATTTAATGGAAAATAAATGAAGGGTTTGGGAGAAATTTCATTTGATCTTACCACTGTTTAAGAGTGAAAACCTATTTCTCTGCGTAAGTAATAATTCAATCGAATTATTTCAATGTATCCTACTTGTTCTGAACAGCTGTCAGAACCTTAGGCAAATCAAGTTATACAGTAATAAAACAAGCTAACTTAAATTCAACTACTCTACGTAGTACACTTACGATCTCTGATCTTTACGCAGAACGATCTCTAGATGACTGACAAGTTTATGATTTGCACCATTTTGTGTCATTCCTCCACACTATCTCGTTAGTTGATCCTGACAATATAACGTCAGCTTGAATTTTCGCTGCATAAAATTTCGGAAATCTACCCTTATCATTGCTACTGGCATAAACTAGTCGAATAGATTTCATATGTACTTCTAACTCCTAAAAAGTATTGCCAAGCGTTTGACATACTTCGTTCATTAATCATCTCAGACATAATTTTAAGGTGATTGTTTATCCAGTGTAGTGCCACAGCGTGTTATAATAAACAAAACCCGTTTACACTGTAAGCAAGAATATCTTCTTGATACGCATTGTTTGCTATGCACTGTAGTTCAGATATCAGTATTTCGTAATTACGACTACTAAAAATGCATTTCAGTAGACGATTAGTTGTCATCTGTCTGTTAATTGACTTCGGCATCTGTAGGAATGGAGTTCGTAGTTTCAAACAATTCGACGGAAAAGTTTTTTTATGTTTCCATTTGATTATTCAACTTGCAAACATATAAATGTTTTTAAAAATCCCTGTTTCTGTTCTAGAATAAAATTTTAGAAAATAATTACTTTATGAATGAATATTATTCTCGGAAGACTAAACTCCTCAAATCATTTGGCGCAACTTTGGGTAAATACGATAAGTACGTTGTACTTTTTAAGTATTCATCTTTTATATTTCTGAGTACATAAATAAAATCCAATATATCTTTATAGAACTAATTTTATTTAATATATCGCGATTTGAAACCAATTGTATTCTAAGCAAAAATTAAATAGTTGAATTCGTGGACCAATTAAATCTAGACCACCATGGAAAACGTGGAAGCACTAGACGACCGTTTTATCCTAGTATGAGACTCCTCAGCAGTGCGCATCCGCAATCCCGTACCAAAGGGACTCGAACTTAAGACCCCCCGTATCGCGCGTGAACGCTTTACCTCTAGACCACTGAGCCGACCGGCATTCAACAGTGTTAATGTTTAACTTCAACCAACCCACGAAACTGCGCCACCGTCCACCATTGTCTTCAGTGAGTTACTATCACACAACAGACCGATAGGTCCTCATTGTATGTAAACTGTAATTAGGTTTATTGATGTACGCTTAAAAGGTTAAAAAGACACATAAGCAAAGCAGAAACGCTTGTCTATATTTGTTGAACTTAACTTATTGCTGGAAATCTACACGAAGTTGACTCTATCCACCCTTCCCTGTAATAAAATTGTATTCATAAAACAGTGAAGTTTAAAAGCGTGAATTTTGGCCTAGATTGTTAGAAATAGAAAAAAATAATCTGACATCAGTGTTTACTGATGACAGTGATTAAACTCTCCATAGTTTGGATACCCTATTTTAATTGCCTTTATTTTTGTTTTGTTAAGACTGATTACAATTTTAATGAATTCATATTCACTACAAATCGTAGTGTTCATTGTTCGAATCGTTATTCTGTCTTATATTTGTAAATGATCATTGGATTATAATTGGTGTAGTGTTAGTCGTTAATTTTAGCCCATAATATATCTTATTCTAGTTTTCGGACATTCCATCCTATTCATTCTGCTCGAGTCATATTTTGACCATGTTAATTATTCGCTTATTAGCCTTGACTGTTTTCACATGAGCGTATATGTGTGTACACTTCATGTCCCATGACTCATTGTATGTCTGTAGCTTATTTTGTCTGCCTATAAATACTGAGTAACGCTTAATTAAAATGGAGTTGGCTTCACAGCCATCCTCCCTGTGCGTCGTTTTGCTTGGCTTTGTTTCATTCACTTCATATACAAAATATATGTATTCAAATGCCATTCTCGTTAATTGACTTATTTAATTCCGTTATGGACTAACGCAATCTAAGTCGACGATGATATACGAGAATAGGTGATAACAATCATTCGTACAATGTAAATGGAGTCAGATCAATGGGTCACTTCATGGTAATGTAACCTTATTTCTTTTTATAATGGATTGAAATAAAAGTGTAGGAAGTATTTCGAATAAATTTCAGTAGTATAGTTTTCTTCACAGAATTTAATAAATCAATGACGTTTATAGAATATAATGATTTTATCACGTCTTTTTTAATTTTACCCCAAATACAAAAATGCTAAATGTTTATTGACTTTAAATTTTCACTAAACAAATTTATATATCAGTATAGGGTTGTGTAGATTATTAATTTATTGATTGAGATCTTGAACAGGATGATGTTAGACCACCGTTGAAAACCTGGAAGCACTGGACGGCCGTTTCGCCCTAGCACGGGACTCCTCAGTAGTGCGTATCCACGATCCCGCTCGCGGGATTCGAACCCGGGGCCTTCAGTCTCGTAGCTCATTGGTGTAGTAGGTTAAGCGTTCGCGCGCACTCAGTGAAATGACCTCTAAGTATCACAGTAGGTCAGTATTGTAGTGTTTATCAACTGATTTGAACTACTTCATTCTATACATCTGATATTTTTGTTCAGAATATGATACACATTTATATTATGTATACTGTTTTTAAATCTGAGATCTAAATCAATTGAAATATGTTCAACAGTGTATGTTTGATGACTTTCCGAAGTATAGTTTTTCAAGAATTCAACCGACCTCGAATATTTGTATAGAAAGTAGAAGACTCACAGAGCTTTTCGTTTAATTCTTCAAAAATTACTTAACATCAAAGCAAAATACATCGCAATATTAACAACTTTTAATTAATGGGTTGATCAATTAATCAACTAAATTTGATCAGCAATAGGGATGAATACCAATAATACTGATTATTATCCAAAGATCAGCTAGTGGTGATCATGTGTTCTTATTTTGTCGCTTTCAATCAATTTTGAAGCATCATGTCATTTTGAAAACTGTCTACTAGTTTCATTTCTGGCTTATGCAGTTCAAATCTCAACTATATAGGGCTCTTAAGTAAACCTCTTCAACGGAATGAAATATAAGACAAATATAAGATTATCAATGAATAGTAAACCAAATTAATTTAGCGGTACACTTTTCTTTTATTCATCACCTAAGATTTAACCAATTGTACTTCTTACGGAATAGATTGATGATATATTTTATATTTACAAATATATAGACCAGAAGTCTCCAGTTTCACGCCATACATATCTGGATTGAACAAAGATCATAACATTCATATATCTACTGGGTTTCTACATCCACCGTATTTCAATGGATCATATTCTATGTCTGAAAAATATGGGATTATCGGTTGGATTATGGGACGTGAGCTTATATCTGCAGGTGATTTTGACATCATGTTCCTTTTATCTAAATTATAATAATGTTGAAATTCAATGTTCATAATTAATCTTATCAGCTATGTTTTCTATACTACATGAATAAATGAAACAGATAGGTTATTTGCATATCACCGGTTTTCGCTTATTTATAAGTAAGCAATCTGAGTGAAAATAATATGACAACATATCTACCGTTAACGTGCTGATCGATTGGATTTAAGTACTACGAAGAATACACATTATCTATCTTAACTCATACAGTTAAACTACCATCACAGTTGATTAGAAAGAGAATATAAATATATCCACTCCGTTTAATTTACACATTGATATTAAAAACAATCTTGAATAAATGTGGCAAATGGAGTATGAGTACAATGCATTCGGTTTGATATAATATGATACTTACATTTATACAAATCTACAGAATACTTACTGATTATTTGTGCTCTCCGATAAACCGTAAGACAGTAAAAAACTTATTAGCAGTAAGTATGTATATACATACAAATATATATATATATATAATTGTGCAGCATTGAAAAATGAACTCGTTAGTAGGATTTCATTTTGATAAATTCTATCATGATAGCTGGCAGTACTTTAATGTCATTCACACTTTCCGCATGCGCATACAAATCAACTATAACTGTCATGTAATGCATGACTCAAGTTATGAAGCGAATTCAGGAGAGAACTACAATTTCTAATATACTGTTTAGTAGTTTTTGAAATTGTAATCTATACACTTAGTCGCAATTCTAATGTTAAAAACAAAACATTTGTTTTATAGTTTCTAGTGACCATCAGACAGACAAACCAGAATCATTTAAATCACAAATATGTTGTCTACAAAAACAAAACAATTCCCGAGTACTTGGAAAAAAAGTAAGTTGTCCTTTAAATGTTCATTATATCGGAGAATAACTACTTCCTTGCATAGCTTTCAGTATTCAAAATGAAAAGTTAACTGTCGAAGTATGAATTTCGATAATTGATGTGTTCACGTAAGATATCTGTGTAGCTAATGTGTTTTGGGTAAATAAGATTCAAAGGTATATTACGTTTGTGATCTGTACATCATTTCTCGATGATTTGTTAACCAATGGCTTATTCAGAAAGATTATAAACAACAGATTTGAAAATTTGTATCAATAGCATACCTAACCAACCAAAGTGTGAGATATCATTCAAGAAATAGGTGGATTTAGTTGAAATTTGAAGCGAGGCAAGACACTTTTAGGTTTACCTCACCTAATTTATCAACTACTGTTCTTACGGATTCTGAAATATTACTGTCAGCAGCCTCAGAAATTCCAATAATGAGGCGTGTACATCAAGCTCCAATTTCCAAGGTCCTTTCCGAGTATGATCTAGTCATTTGAAGAAAATAAATGGTATTAGTTAGAACTAGATAAATTGTTACGCGCACAAATCCTTATACAAATATTCTTAACATCCTTCACTCCTGATTTTAAAAAAGCCACTTCTGTCAGCTGGTTGTGACGACAAGACTCAACTAAGGGCGAGTAACCACAAATAAGAAGTTTCAGATGAAGTCATTACATGAAAGCCAGTTCTCATATAATGTATATAACCAGCCAATATATTTCAGATAATAAAACTTGAATCATAAAAGGTAGTAACTCAAACATAGTGATATCACAAGAAATATCTGCTACTGGTCACCTTCATCAGTAAAATTGTGGAATTTTAATCTAGAGACCAAGTTCCGATGGATTCAATATCCATGTTTAATGTTTATTCAGCTACATCGTGAGTTGACTGATCAACTATACTTAAGATTTTAATGATGTTATGTTAACTGTACAAAGTTCGAAACAGATAAGTTTTGTTAATTTGAATGCCTTATTCGGTTCCTAAGCTGTTCTGGTAACCCGCAAGCTTGAACTACGCAGCGACCTGAACTTGAGAGAAAAGGCGCAGAATAAGCGAAAAGCATTTTACTCCAAAGGTTCATTTTTGTACAGAAAAACATGGGTATTTATAAATGTTAACATTTGTTAAATCAACATCAGACTTTGGCCAATCCGCTAAAAGACATACTATGCTACTGGCCAATAGTAGCACGCCACGTTGATATTCTAGAAAGCTCCATCATGCTTTGATTTTCTAGGACTCTACGGCTCCTTTAGGGTCTCTGGAGGCTCCGTTGCAGTTCTCGGAAAGCCGACTCAACAGAAACTTAATCAGACCTTTTTCCACAAAGCGACATTTGTGATGTCATTATAATTCTGTATATCATAAAAGTGTGCCTTTCCAGACGAACCATTCTAGGCCATCCACATCGTGACTGAGGTCAACTAGACGTGAAAATTCTAAGTTTGTTGTCTTCACTTCAGATCGAATCCCTGATAAAGTGAAGGTTTTCATCATAAGGATAAATCGTCGTTCTGTCATCATAAGGCTGGTATTCGCAACAGATATGAACATACTGCTAAAAACACTTAAAAAATACTTGGTAAACCACTTAGTCATAGTGTGGATCCAACCATCCATATTCTTTCCATTAACTTCAGTGCTTCAAACTCTTGTAGAAGTCAACGTTCATACATTATACAGTGGACATCCATCAAATCAAGATATTCCATCCACTTTCGTTAAAGAGCATGAATCGGAGAGTTATGAAAGTCTGAATTTTTATCATATATTGTCGTACTATTAACCGGTTCTTTCGTGGTTGAATATCACAATAGATATTACTATTGTTTCAAAAAACATAAGGACAGTTCTTTGTAAACTGCGCACTAATATGATTATCCGACATGTCGTTGCTGTATGTGAAGCTCATCTACTGTTTTCCATCAAACCTATAAGTTAAAAGTTCTTTATTCTTTTCTTTTCTCATAGATGTTACTATATAAGGCTATTATGATGTCTACAGTTATTAACTTTTAAACAGCTTCTTAGCTCATTCGACTACTTTTGCTTAACATTCAGTATTCAAACTGTTTCACATGCAGTATTTAGTTAACGAAATGTCCTCGAAAAGAATATTTAAAAACAGGGATTACTTGAGTAAACAATCGTTTTCGATAACCCATATAGACTCAACAGTTACGAACATTATCTACTGTGTCATACTAGACAGTATAATAGTGTATTCGTCTAATATTCATGACTGAATAAGTCGTTTCTCAAAACTGATAATAACTATTTTCATGTGAATTAGAATGGATTGAAAAATTTACTAGTTAAATTCATGAGTCAATTGAAGCTAGACCAACATGGAAAACCTGGAAGCACTGGACAGCCCTTTCGTCCTGGTATGGGACTCCTCAGTAGTGCGCAATTGAACGTGATACGACATAGGATTGAAAATTAAATAATTAAACTATTTTATACATATTCACTATTATTATACTAAATTTATATTCTAGAATTTGAGATCATTGTCAAACGATATTAATGGGCTTATGTTATCCTTTACAGTAAGTAAAAGCAGATAAGTTCATATTTATTAAATCCTGTAATTGTTAAAATTCATACTCAAAGAAAATACTCATTATTTTAAAAGAAATGGCATATTGTTTTTATGAATGAATGAATGTATTTTCAACTAATAGTATGAAATTATTTAAGCCTAATAATATTAAGTTTAACTGTTGTGAGGATCACTTTTTTTTTTTTTAATATCCACCTCATTTGTTTAACTGTTGTTCTTTTTATAATGGATTAGAAAAAAGATAGTGTCGATAAAAGTTTATTTACAGGTAATTAATATTTGTAGTGGCTTTGCTTCGTTAATCAATCAACTCAATAACCATTATCAGAAGGCAATGAGAACCGGCAACTACAGTTTATTATTAGTGTATAGCGCAAATCACAAAGCTATAAGCACACCAAACGAATTTGAAGCAGAGAGATGAACAAGTATATGCGAGCAATTACATAGACATATTTATTGTCGAATTGTATAAGATCGCAGCAAGGTAAAGCAAAAGCTAATAATATGACTTGATTACAATACATATATATGGGGAAGAGGATGAATCATCGAGTGATAATTAAGCAATCAACATTTTGGCTAGAGTTTATCATGTGCTCTAGTGATCATAACAGTACAAAGAAATATGCTAATTGTTACTGTTGAAATAACACTGTCTGCTAAGTAAGTTAATGAAATGGCTTAACCAAAATTAACTATGATCGAAATTGGTTATAGGATAGTTGTTAGATGTTTACACAGAATGTACTTTCGTATATATATATTTCAGACATATGGAAGGATTTGTATACAAAATCGTAAAAATCTAGATGGAGAATTGTTTTTCTCAACATTTGCAAAGGTTAGTTTACTTAACGTTTAATAATTTCCATTTTGAAAAAAATACACTTCATTAAGACTAATTTATACTATTATAGTATGTTGATATCGTAATCTTGTGATGGGGACACTTCAAATATCAATATTTATATCCTAGTGAACGACAACACAGGTGAGGACAGTAGAATGTAATTGAACAAAAAATTACAGAACATCTTAGTAAAATCTGAGAACCATACAGTAAGTACTTAATTTGCAAAATGTCAATCAGTTGTCTCAAACTTTGATTGTTCTTTTTGCAAATGTCAATCAATCGTTCCATACTTCACTGTTCCTTCATTTCCACAACAATCATTCTCTATCCTGGTCCTCTTTTTTCAATCTTCTTAACCTTCTGTTGCCAGACATTTCACTTTTGATTAATGATTCATATTACTTATATCTATCAACATCAGTAGCAAACACCACAATATAAGTTGTAAGTTATGATGAAGGTTAATGTTTCATTGTAGAATGAAAAAAGGGATCTTCATTTAAATATTAGTATCCAATTTCTGAGATTAAAATCATTAAATCATAATGAAAGGTCAACTTTCTTTCATCAAAATAGAAAAATATATTAGTTGAATACTGGTAGTCAAGTATTGTTAAATCCTACTCCACCTCAAACATTTTCGACTGGCTAACAACAGTTATTGTTTTAAGAATAAAGTTCTGATGTTGAGGTTTATTAGTAAACTATACTAAGTTGACAAAATAGGAATGAATAAAGTTGGAATAGAAAAGAGTCATATGAACAAGATTTGACTAAGTCTAAAATCGATTGAAATTCTTACAATTAACAATACACTACTTTTACTAGAATTTTACTGCTCATTTCATTGTCTCTTACGGCTGTCTACTTGAATATCTGGGCTACCTGTTCCTCCTATCATTTATATATATTAACAAGTTATCTTATTTTTGTTTTAACGCACCAATTATGTCCATTAATCGTACAACCTACTCAGGCTCATATATAAACTTTTACGACCTACTCCTTTACAAGGTACAGAGATAGCTGGCAATCTACATTGAAAAGAATGAGTGCTGATCACATGTTGATTACTGAACTGCTAACTTCCAACCGCCGATTATTCATTAACAAGGTGGACTATCTTGAGTTCCTACTAAGTCTAAACATATATCGTAATTGTGGTATAATCACAATTTAAGAATCCTGGTTGAATCATTTACACAACGATTGTTTAGGATAACTACATGGTTCCAATATTTATCACTAGAATAGATCAATAAATAAGGAAAATTGTGGAGGCGATGTATCTACATCTGTATGAACTGGTGTTCATCTAGTTTTGCATAACTGCATCAGTTGTTAAACCTTAAAAGATGCCATCCAAAACACATGAACAAGTACAGCTATACTTATGTTACCAAAATATACGTGATTCCTCACTGTACTTCATCTGCACTATCTGTTTCCATTGACGAATTCACCAAAATGACTGTTGCTACCTTCAATCCTTCGCTTTAAACTATACGTGGTGATTTTAATACATGTGATTGTAGCTTTCTTTCATCATTAGGTCACCAAAATGTAGTCGATGTCCTTTCACGTTTAGATGTGTATTTAGACTGTTCACATTAATGATTTGGGAATATATGTGACTCGCGAACCCACTCCATCACTTAATTCTGATTATTGCATTACTCGTGCTCTAGCTAAAGTGTGTGGCAAACTCGAGAAGAGTACTCTCTTAGATCAGAAAAAGAAAGTTAAATGCAAGAATTATTCAAAAGAAAATATTTAAGATCTGAGAAAAACATTTTTGTACGACAAAATAGGTTGAGAGAAAGAATGTACGAGGAGAAAAACTCCATTGAAGTTCAAAAACTAAATGATCTAATAAACCTAGAGACCAGACCCCTGAAACTAATGTTTACTCAGAAACTCCTATCTTATAAAACTCTTCAAGTATGTGGGAACCATTTAAAGAAATCACAAGTGACAGATACATTAGAAGTGATAACTGGCTCAATGTTTGTGACTTAAATATTTCTTTTGTAAGTCAGACATCTGATGTTATGCTTCCTATATCCACAGGTTTGAAGAATAGTTGTGCTTCAATTCCCACAGAAACTGATGTCCAAAAACATCTGTCACTTAACTCGTCCAAATGTGCAAGACCTGATTAAATCCCGAACCTCATTTTTAAGAAGTATGCTGACGTTCTGTTTTATTCATTAACGAGCATCTTTAACAGATCCTTCTCAACTAAGCTCATACCGAAAATGTGGAGAAAGATAAAGATAATCCCACTACCTAAGAAATTATCTGGCGATAAGAATGTGAATTTTAGACACATAGCAATAAGTTCACCTTTTCTCAGAAAAATGGAAAGACTATTACTACTCCCAATTAAACCTGCAATAAAAGAGTAAATTATTCAGTATCGGTTTGCTTACAAATGCAAAAGTAGCACCTTAAATGCTGTGTTCTACATCATAATATAGTGTTCAGCTCTGAAAAGGGCAAAAGGTATGTTAGATGAGCATTTCTAGAGTACTATTCTATGTTTGATTCTCTTCTGAAACCACTAATACTAGACGAGTCTGCAGACGTCAACGCCAACAGCTGGATAACCAATAGACTGCGTTCTTACCCACTGGAATAGAAAGGTATACTGTTCTTGAAGGACAGTGTTCGATTTCTCTACTGTCTTATAGTGCGTGACAAGGGACTGTTGTGTCCTCTCTTCTTTTCATATTTTTTCTGCATGATCTACTATCTTCTACAAAAAACCCTTTCGTTGAGTATGCGAATGATCTCACTATATGCACATTGATTTCTGCCTCTTCACATCTTCAGTTGAATGAGTTCTTGTTGCCCACTAAACGATGGTCTATTGTTAATGGTCTCTCACTTCACTCTTCTAAATGTCAAATTGTTAATTTTAGCCGAAGACATAAACAGCACTTAAACTCTCTGTTGGAATCTCATAAAGTTTGTACTGTTAGAGATTCTGTACTATAAACAGCGTCAAATGGCCACTTGTCTTGGCATTACTCTTTCCTCTGTTCTCTCTTGGTCTTCTTATGTTTTATTGGTATCAAAGAAAGTTTTCTCTTTGATTTACTGTATAACCAGGTTATATGCTTTTGGCATTGCTCAAGACTTACTTTTACGATTCGTAAACTCATACATATAATCTTATTTTTTACTGTTCCTTATTATTCTTTCTCGGGTTTTAAAAAAAAACATTTCTCTGTGTTTCGGAGTGTCAAAGGAAATTATTAGGATATGTAGTGAGTCTTTTAAAGTCATTATGAATATGGTTATGGACAAACATTTAAAATCATGCAAACTCCTGGCAGGTATTATCTTATCAGATATAAACCATTCACTTCAATCACATCTTTCCCCTTGTATATCCATACACCAAAGTAAATGTAATAAAGATCTACAATACCGCATCTGGCATATATACTATGCGACGAACAAGTTGTAATAGCTGACCTAACCAAAAACTTGTATCCTTAAAAATGTCGCTAATTAAGTTATTTTATTATTTTTTTTAAAACATTACATTTAATTCCAGATGGTTTATTCACTGATCTTATGTATATATGTATGCAGTGGTCGGTTTGTTCTCCTTTGTAAAAGAAACGTGTTGAAATACTTTTTCCTAAGAATTTTATATGGTACTGTAGAACTATGGTAGTATTATGGTCTACTATGATATTAGTGCTGCTCTAATAATAGACCTAATCCTAAATTTGTAGATTTGTCATGATATAACTACCTAATCTATAAGATCTTACGTGGAAGTCACACCATCGACTACACCAACTCACTGTATCGCATCAATTACCAATACATGATGTAGAACAAGGTTAGGCTAGAGAAAGAACAATATATTTAATATGAATAGAAGATATAAGGTAACATTCAGCAGAGACTAAGCCTGCATGGCCGAGCCATGTCACTCGACCAACTCAGTCCGTTCAATTCATTGTCCGCGCCTTCTCCATTGTTAGGTATTTCCCCGAGTTAAATATTGAATATCTATTTTCTGAGTAGTCTCGTGTTCACAGCTTTGTGGATTGTGTGGCTATTGTCCAATGCCACTACAGTACCAAACATATAATATTGAATAATGACATTGATTACATAACATTTCAGTTTCTTTTCTTTTCCTTCTGTCATCTATTTTGTTCAGTAAAACAACACAGTTTGAATCTTCTTCCTAATATTTCTGTTAATTTCTTCTAATCTAAGAATATAATAAAACGATCATGTATTACATTTATTCAGTTAACATTTTGATACACTAATTATTCACTTTGTTATCACTTTTTTTCAAATAACTGAAGATGATGTGTGGTGGCTACTTTAATGATACGATTAATAACAAGTTCAAATCGTCCAAGCTAAAATATACATTCAGGTAACACATTTGTAATTTTAATCAGTTTATTAAAAACTAAATTATACTTGCTATGAGATTGATCACCACCCAGTGATCAATCAATTGTGATTATACTTGCTATATGTTTTCAGAATAGTGGTTACAAATTAGTTTGACAAGAGTATTGCTCACTACTCAACATCTCCTCAGTAGTTATGATGTAAACAAAAAAACTAACATGAGCAGAAAAATATGATATATTCTTCTGACAATAATTAATCATTATTACCATCCCCTCACATAGGGATTTTCAGTAACAAGTTTTTGCGTATGCGATAGAAGAGCCAGATCATCTGCGAAGTCTAGATCGTCCAGCTGCATCCTAGCTGTCCACTGTATCCCATGTTTCCCTCTCCACAGATGTTGATGTCCTCATGATCCAGTCGATCACCAGGAGTAAGAGAAAGAGTGAGAGCAAGCAACCTTGCCTGACACTGGTCTTTACTTCGAACGGGTCTGTCAGATGTCCTCCGACTGGAATATATATATATAACTGTCCTCCGGATATTTAAGCCAGAACCTTCCAAATCTCAGCAAACTTTGTCAGCGAACAGTGCACCTGGCTCAACACCTATCACTTGCCGTTTGCTTCTGGACCAGCAAGTGTGTACAGGCACGTGATATGTTTGTATTCGCTGAAAATATCATTTATCCCTCTAATAATGGATCGTAATTTTCGAATTTACATGACAAGTTTATAGTACACAATCACGTCTCTTTCGGGAGATATACTGTTTTCAAGGGATGTTTTGATTCAGATGGGCGACTCCTTTTATAACGCTCCCGAAAGTTTAATTTTCCCAGCTGCCCTTAAAATTGGTTAACATGAAAGGAGTGCATGTTGTGATTATTCTTATGATGCTGAAGACTTTTAGCGATATCTATGTCTTTTGTCTTGTATAAATCTTCTCCTTTCATCAATGGATGTTTGAGATACAAGTTAATCGCTTGTAAATAGTTGGTTGAAATCCCTTGTGAATGAAAACGACACTTGATTACCAATATGATTTAGTGAATTACTATGAAACGTAGCATTTAAAGTCAATAATCACATTAGTGAATTGAAAAACTCTTATGATTAAACTACAAGGGGTGTCTATAATATAATCATTGACAGAGTGAATACTTGACTGAACAAGTTTGTACCAAGGTTGACGAGAAATTAGTGAAACATTTGACGAAGTTTAAAACTGCTGTTACATAATCTAATCACTAGCATTAGTAAACGTTAACTTACGACCGAAAGTGAAATAAGTATGGGATATAATATTAATTGGATAACATTAGTTTAATCGCTCGATTATAGGTAGCATGATTTAGAGACCTTAACAAGCGTCTGAAAGCCTGAAAAATTTTTATGCATGACCACTGGAATCACAAATTCTTCAATCGCTCTTATTAGAAAATGAATTTGGAAACTGTTAAATTCCATAGTTTTAACAAATCATGTCTGGCAGATAATTAGAACCAGATTTGTTACCAGACATACTAGATATAACCCATGGGACGAATGAAAAATGAGTTTGAACGCCGTAGATACTGGAATTGAGGATTGATGAATTTCTTCAAATGATTAACACTACACGTTAAAAAAAAATAATTTCGTCTAGTTATCGTCATTTTATATTCGAACATATGGGTACACATCACTCAATGTGGTTTATTTAATGTACTGCTTAATATTTCAGCTCGTAACATATTTCTCATTTGTTTTAGCAGATATCTCAAATCTCCACTCACCATAACCTCATTTTTACTAATGTAGTTATGTTCTTTTCAGTGTCAGTTGAGGCGAATAGAAATATTAAGTTTACAATATTTGCATTTAATCTGTTCCAATAAATAAATTCAACATCTTATTACTTTTATGCATGAAAGATTATGATAGTCCATCACTTGACCTACTAATGACAATATATTTCACTCCAATATATCTCTTTACCAGTGTTAATGACCTTCTGAAACACAGTCAAGAATTCTCCGACGTATACCAATGTCCAGTCGATTCCAAAATGAATCATGCAGAAAAATGTATTCTTTAAATGAATGTAGAAGTTATGTGTATTAAAATATTGGTTTAAATGTGTCTTCAATTTTGTAACCATATTGGTGGTAATGTATTTGTTTATCTTTTTCAAATATAAATATAATCTAACAAGGAAATTAAAATTTAATACAGTTTTTTTCTCCATTTCAATCAATTGATTTTGAAGATAACATGAATGGACTGACATTTTGATTCAGTTGAAAAAATAGTTCGTTTTTTTTAAATGCTGTTCCCACAATGCTCAAATATTTTATAAATGAAATAAATCATTTTGAAGTTGAATCTCTAGGTCATTATTTTTGTGATGTGTTCTGAAGAAACAATATGCAAGAAATAGATGTATCAACGGACCTTCTACTTTGAAGAATTGATATTTACCAGAAATACATCTTGAATACTCTTATAACCAACTTAGAATTAAAATTTTAAAAATTGTTGACTAAATATTAGTAATTTATAAAATACCAGTTTAGATATGTTATAACTTGTAGCCTGTGCGCTCTGTTAATGTATAACGTGATGATACCACTAATTAGAGAACAGTGAATTATCGATTGAACCAATGACTCATAAAACCTGTACGAGCAGTCTAGAGTACTTATCGGTCCTGCTTCCTGTCTAGCCCAACCAGTTAAGTTCAGAACATCAATCTGAGCCTCTGTGATATGAATCATTTATTTCAAACATACTGAGTTTATATACCAATCAAACAGACCACATCACACCATAAAATATGAAACAACATTTGGCCAAAAGTGGCTGTGAATGTGGGAGATAGTGAATAATAGACAGAGCATAATTCAAGAATGATAAAGTGTATAATAATAGTTCATAGGTCAAAATAAAGCTTATGATAAGAGCATCACGAACATGAATAGTTTAGTTAGTTAACAATTATAAGATAAAAAATATGCGTATAGTATTAGTCCATAAATGGATCCCATAAGTTATCATTCACTATTCTTATCGGGAAATAACAATATCCCAGTTTAGAGTATTCAGACTGACAATTTTGATTTGAAAGTCGATTAAGTTCGATAAATTATTAGTTTCTGATATATACAAATAGCTTTGAGTAAAAACCTCAGCGAAGTCATTCCTTGTAAATAGATAATAATTGACTTAATGTACAGTCCAAACTGTTTATAATTTACTAGTGATGTATCATAGCATCTCATTATTTGTATTCAACTGAAATTTTTGCAAATTACAAACATCCTATATGACATCATTTCATGTTCTAACTGTTCATTTTAATTGACTTAATAAAATGGTTATGAAAAGTTACATCTAAAGCATCTGGAAAAACCGTGTAGAAGATCATAATAAACCACAGATTATTGACGAAAATACCTTAATTATTTGCAATACTAACGCTTGGTTCTCCTCTTTATATCAACGAAACACTAATTTGCCTTAAAAGAATATCTACACTAGATACCCTGCTAATGTCTATTCTATAGGACTTCAACACAGCTCGGGTCAAGAACACGTGATTGGCCCGAACAGAATGGGAGTATTTTTCTACATCAACCACCGACAACAATGACAATAATGATGAGGATAGGAAAATATATAACACATCTAATACCTGACAGACTATCTACTAGGCTGACTAGGTTAATGACCAGTCATTATTTTTTCCGGCCAAACATATATATATATATATATATATATATATATATATATATATATATATATATATATAAAACAAATAGAAATCGCAATTTACTCAAGATAAACTAAGTTGATATATCAAAATAATAATGACGACAAAGTCTTGTAAATATAATATATGACAACAGAAGGTTTGTAAAGCAGTTACTCGCCATTGGTATTAGAGAATTATTGCAAATTATCACTAATCGGTTGAAGCATTTCATGTAATCCCTGCCAACTCAATAGTCTGACAACAGGCATTCATCAAAAGGCTTGATGATCTTAGGTACAATTAAAGGTGAGGTCGTGGATATTCACTGTCGAGTATTCATATACCAGGACGAAATAGCTATCCAGTGCTACTTGATTTTTATGATATAAACCATGTAATTCAAAAGTTTCCGAAAACCCTGGCGATAATAATATTTATAGTCATATATCCATCTATAGTGCTATACGAATTCAGTTTAAGACGTAATTCTCCTAGAAATTAAATCCTTCTTAAGCTAAATCTAGTATATTAGACAGAAACTTCTTGACTGTTTGTTTAGCCGCATTACTTTATCCAAAGCAGAAATTCCCTCATCTTTACAGATCATAAGCTTTTGACACACGTTTTAACGTCGATTTCAATCTCTGTTCTTCTACAGAAACTCGACAATTGGATTGAATATCAAAGTTCTCCACGAATATACAGTTCTGTAAAGAAAAATCTTACATGAATGCTGATTAACTTTTTTGAACTAAACTTAAGTGCCTTGCATTCATTTAAAAGAATTGATTTACAAGAAATCACACAGATATAGGCTAATAATTTGAGAGTAAAAGGATATCGAGAAATTTCCATAGTAGGTTGGCAAGCATTTATGCTTTTTCTAAGCTCGAATCATTGATGAAAATGAGCTTCACGCCGAAACAAAAAACATTTGTGCTATCGTGTGATAAGAAGACGAAGATTATCAGAACTATAGTTCCGAATGAATGCTGGAAATAAAATGGAAAGTTTGAACAGACGGATTATGTCTCGAAGTTCATGAGTTTTATGGAAACCTAACTAGAATTTTAAGAGAGCTTTTATTTCAGAATGTGCTGACCGACGAAACTTTGAAAACGTTCTTGACCGAGGCCAAAAGGATATTAAATAACAGACCATTAGTTAAAATGGCGGATGATCCTGGCACCCTAGAGGCTCTTACTCCGAATAAATTGTTATTGATTTATAAAGGATCATCCTTCGACAATGTTTCTGCGGATAGGACTTTATTAGACAATAAAAGATGGGAAGCTCAGCGGTTAGGTACCGCATTTTGGAATAAATAGACAAGAGAATATTTGCCTACACTCCAAACAAAAGATAAATGGTTGAACGTACGCAAGAATTTACAACCAGGCGACCTAGTTCTCGTTAGTAACATTGAAGCAAGTAGAAGTCTATTGCCTAAAGCCATTGTCGAACAGGTAAGCTATGGTCCTGACAGATAAGTTCGTACAGCGAAGTTGAGAACGGCAAACTAAGAAAACGTTCGGGATGTACGAAGTCTATGCCTACTGGGAGAAGCTAGTTATCTGACGACCCAGGACGACGGACGTAGTGTGCGTCTCGAGGGGAGTGTAAAGTGGGGTCGATAAACGAACCTATCAACGATAACATGAAACACCCACCACCACACTAACTTTCGTTAACCTTGTATGACTGCCTTGCTTATTCATCAATCACAAATTCATGTTCATCATAAAACAATATTCGCTTTGTTGACTCATTTTTCTTATCCTCTAGTTACTGTTCGGTATGTTATTTATGTCTCTCCTTTTTCCTGTTTAATAGACTGTATTGCATGTTTTGTATATTAACAGCGGTAATTTACGTTTTAGAAACAGAAAAAGTTTATCAAGCCAAATAGCTTACTTGTTCTGACTTTGGCTAAGCTAAGACTATGTGCTCGACAGTCTAGAGAATAGTTTAGAATTTCACCTGTAGGAAACTACTTTCTACCTATGGAACTCAGAACGACTATCAGCCAATATTAAAGATTCTTCAATTTGTACGTCGACAGTCCTACTGTACGGAGCTGAAGCTTGAAGAACTACTACAGCCATCATCAGAAAAGTACAAGTATTTATAAACAATTGTTTACATAAGATACTGAATATCCATTGATCGGATACCATCAGCAACAGCCTACTGTGGGAAAGAACAAACCAGCTTCCACCTGAAGACGAAATTAGAAAAAGATGTTGGAGTTGGATAGGACACACATTGAGGAAATCATCAAACTGCATCAGGTGGAAGGCGCTAACTTAAAATCCTGGGGGTAGTGTTATATCTAGATATAATTTTTTGCTATAACGCGAATAACTTGAACACTAGAACACTTGAACCCTCCAAGTCCCAAGGAGTCTTATTCTAACCAGAGTCAAATACCCCAGTTTTTAGTATGAACGAAATTTTCATTACAATCACCCAATCTACATGCAGTGGTTCCTTGGCATTTTCTCAGTGGGGAAGCTGCACGTCGAGATTCTGGAATTTTGCCTTAGAAGTAATCAAAGGAGCTACGGAAGATGACGAGATATTAAGAGAAATTAGGGGTTATTTTCTAACCAAATGGCTAAACCGTCGTTTTCAGGAAGAAATATTTTCACCGGCGTGACTCACTTATGATCGTTGATTCATGTATTATGTTTGATGACAGAACCATTGTCACAAAAACATTACGCCAAGAGTTTTTAAAATAAGCCCACAGCGGCTATCCCGGCATCAACGAGATGAAATCGTTGGCTCGAAGCCATACATTTTGGCCTACAATGGATCACGATATAGAAATTAGATGCTACAATTTTTCGCCGTGCCACTAAAAAGCCAAAAATGCAAAGAAATATGAACTAAAACAATTAAAAAGGCCTTAAAGTTCCTAGAAGGAGCTCCATGAAGATTTTTCTAACCCAGCACTAGGGGAAACGTTTTGGTCATTTTGGATGCATTCACGAAATGTCCAGAAATATATGCTATATTAAATCGCACAGCAGATGAAACAATCGGCAAGTTATCTGATTTTTTTCGGCTGTTTCGGACTTGCAGAGACTTTAATGGCCGATGACAGCCCAAATTTCATTTAGGAGTCACTCAAGCCCTTGTATAATATGAGTGGAATAACATGTCTTTGCTCACCACCCTATCACCCTAAATCCAATGGACAGGCACAACGCTTTGTCGACACCTTCAGAAGAGCATTACTGGAAACGAGAGATGAGGGGACAACAGGTCAGGTAACCACAAAATTCCGAATAGCATAATAAACTACTCCAAGCCCAAGGATGAAAGTTGGGAAGACATCATGAAAAACGAAACGCCACTGAAAGTCAGTTATCAAGCTGGAAGTGGACCCAAAGAAGTCTTATGTTTTGAGAGAAGAAACGTCTTGAGGAGATCCA